ATTTCTTTATTGAGATTAAACACACATGTAGTTGGGGTGTATGTACACTGACACCGCCCCTAAACCCTTTTCTTTTTCTCTACGCCGCAGCCGACTGCGTGCTGCAGGGGGCTAGCTGCTGCTGCTGCTGCTGCTGCTGCTGTCTGCTGCTGCTGCTGCTGCTGCTGCTGCGTTTGCTGCTGCAGCAGAAGCAGTATTTTGTGTGTCGTATTTCAGCAGCAGCAGCAGCAGCAGCAGCAGCTGCTGCTGCTGCTGCTGCGGTGTCTCCTTCTCTGTCCCCCCGCGGGGCTGTTCTATTTCTCTGTGGCTTGAAAAGCTGCATATACACCTCAGATTCAGGTGTATACGCAGCACTGCTGCTGCAGCAGCAGCAGACGAGGGACGGAGACAGACGGCTGCTGCTGTGGTGGTGCCCGCAGCAGCAGCAGCAGCAGCAGCAGCAGCAGCAGAGGCAGAAAGAAGAATAGCCGCGCCAGCAGCAGTAGCAGCAACAACGACAACAGCAGCAGCAGCAGCAGGGACAGCAACAGCAACAGCAGCAGCAACAGCAGCAGCAGAAACAACTGCAGCACCAAAAGCAACTGCAGCAGCAACTGCAGCAGCAACTGCAGCAGCAACAGCAGCAGCAGCAGCTTCCGTCCTGACAGCAGCGACACAGCAGGAGACAAAAGCAGCAGCAAGAGACAAAGACAAAGACAAAGACAAAGGAGACAGAAGAGTAAACCCTAAACCCTAAACCCTAAACCCTAGAAAAAGCGGAGACAAAGAAAAAGACAGAGGAGACAGAAGAGCAAACCCTAAACCCTAAACCCTAAACCCTCAAACACAGGAGACAGCAGAAGGGGGAATGGAGCTGGCTATTCGTTATAAAGGGGAGCGGCTGCTGCTGCGGCTGTCTGCTGCAGCAACAGTAGAGGAGCTGCAGCAGCAGGTGCAGCAGCACACAGGGCTGCTGCCGCAGCAGCAGCTGCTGCGGTGGGGGTTCCCCCCCAAGCCTATCCCCACGCAGCAGCAGCAGCAGCAGCTAGCAGACATAGGCTGCTTCAGGGGGCAGCTGCTGCTGGTTGAGGCCGTCAATACAAACTCCTCCAGCAGCAGCAGCAGCAGCAGCAGCAGCAACAGCAGCAGCAGCAGCAGCAGCAGCAGCAGCAGCAGCAGAAGCAGAAGCAGCAGAAGCACGGGGAGGAGCAGCAGCATCGATGGTGGCTGCAGCTCTGCAGCTGAGGTGTCTCGGTGGGGGCAGGCTGGTGATGTGGGGGGAACAGCAGCAGCAGCAGCAGCAGCAGCACCAGCAGCAGCAGCAGCAGCAGCAACAGCAGCAACAGCAGCAGCAGCAGCAGCAAGTATAGATAAGGATAGCGAGATGGATGAGTGTGTTGCTGAGTGTCTAACAGCAGCAGCAGCAGCAGCAGCAGCACTACAACTGTCTCCTCGCCCCGCAGCAGCAGCAAGAGGGTCAGGCCCATACAAATTTATTCGTATAGTAACAGCAGCAGACAACAGCTGTTTATTTTCTTCTGTCTCCTTTGTCTCCTCTCCTTCTCTATCCGCGCAGCAGCTGCGGCATGCAGCAGCAGCAGCAATAGCAGCAGAACCCCAACGTTTCACTGATGAGGTCCTAGAGCAGCAGCAGCAGCAGTATCTGCTGCAGCTCTGCTGCTGCCAGCTGTGGGGGGGATACGTAGAGCTAGCTGTGCTGGCGGAGCAGCTGCAGCAGCAGTTTGTTGTTTATAATATACAAACACCAGCACCAGCAGCAGCAGCAGCAGCAGCAGCAGCAGCAGCAGCAGAAACACCAACTATGCAGGTCTATGGAGACCAGTTCCCCCGCAGGAGCTTCCTTATATATAACGGCATACACTACGACCCCCTTGCTGCTTATGCAGCAGCAGCAACACAGCAGCAGCAGCAGCAGCAGCAGCAGCTGCAGCAGCAGCACAGAGAGATGCAGCAGCTGCAACTGCAGCAACTGCTGCAGCAGCAGCAGCAGAACCAGAGCGAATACGGTAACCCAAACTATCTGTATACTGTATTTGCTGCTGATGATTACGAGGCAAGTGCTGCTGCTGCTGCTGCTCTTGCTGTTGCTGCTGCTGCTGGTCCTGCTCTTGCTGCTGCTGGTGCTGCT